TCGCCTTGCCCCTTCTTTGTCACTCCCTTCCCCACTGACTGTTCTCATGGCTTGGGCCTTCGGTCCTCCTCCCTCTGTCTACCTACAGCACTGCGATCTTGGTTCTGAGGGGGAAGAAACACCTCCTATGCCTTCTCCCTGTCCAGCCTCCAGTATTGTTGTCTTGGTGGGACATTGGCTGCAGTCACACTGGAGGCTTGGTGCGATCTGGCAGTGCCTCTATTTGTGGCAGTTTAAATTGTCGCAGGAAGGGATGACCAGACAGCAAACCCTGAAGTGGCCTCAACTGCGCATTGGCCCTGTGGTCGACCATTCAGATTATTGCTGTGGGGCAACCACAGAGTGGGTGGTCGGGTGGCTTCTTTTCTAAATTTGTCTTTTGCATATGCGCAAAACTGCTTATTCGAAGCACTGCTCTGTTTTGAAAGCTGGAGGAGGCTGCCTCCCCCTCTAAAAAAGCTCATATTTTCAATTAACCCCTTCCTCACCCTGTGTGCTGCAAAGGTGTAGGCAGAAGTGACATGAAAAAAGACAAAGGAGGCTTCTCAGCCTGCCTTCCCCTCCTTCTCACCTCAGAGGACAACTGTAAGCTTGCTTGTTGTGTGCATGAAGATACAGTTATGTGCATATCACTAACTGACTTTAAAAACAGAATGAAAATGAAACAGAGAAATCAGACTTCCTAACCGCGTTGAGCTTGCACCAGGGGAGTTCAGACATCTGGAAATGTGGGCTGAAAGCGCTGATATCCATAAACACTGGACTTTCCCCAGTGCCTAATTACTTCGCTTCCAAAGCGGGGCAGAATGGGGTGGCAACAACTGTGGCATGGAAGGCAGATGTTGCTGTCTGACCCTGCTCTTTCAATCCAGAAAGGTACCACAATGGTATCAATGCAAACTGCTTGTGTGACCACAGCCATGGGGTGGAGGAGGGTCACCTCACAAGCAGGGATGACTAGGGAGACCTATGCATCCCCACCTGCTCATTCCAATTGCCACCACTTTGGCGGGGGGAAGAGGCGGTGGGTCCCATGCCTCTTCCTCTGGCCAGTCCAGTTTTGGAACTGCTGTGGTGAGGAAGCATCACTGCCTCAACAGATGGGAGGGCTGGCAGGTTCTGCAGCTCCTCCTGTTTTGCTGCCTCATTGGCTGCCAGGTGCAGAGAGCAGTGGCATATCTGCTCCTTCTCACCTGTCCTATTCCTTACATACCCCTTGCTCCTGAAGAACAGTTATGTGCTTCTGGGAAGAAAACTTTTGTGACTGGGCTTGTTTTTTGGTGGTGGTAGTTGTTGCAAACCTGGGTCTCCCCTGAGGTTTACAGAAAGATCTCCTTTCTTTCTCCATGGCCCTGATTTAGTACCCACAGTTAGGGCCTTTACCCTGATTCAGAAGCAGGAGAGACAAGACCTGGAGCTTTCTTTGACTCAACTGCCAATTTCTTTGCAGGCCCAAGCCAAAGACAAAATATCAAGCACTTGCAGCAGCAGAAGTACCTGTGCAGCCCAGCAGAACTCTGGCTACATGAAAACCCCTCCTAAATTATCTTTTACAATTATAGAGTGGGGGGGATTCAAATTAATAAATGACAGCACCCTTGTGGGCTGGCAAGCAAATATGAAATTGGTTCAAAAAAAGAGAGGAAAAAACATTCCAGGTGTTATGGTTTTCAAGGTAACAAATATTTACCACAAACCCTGCAACTTTACAGCTAGAGGTAAAACTGAATCATAATGACTATGAACTAGGGATGCCAGCCTCCAGGTGGGACCTGGAGATTCCCCAGAATTCACCTCCAGATGACAGAGATCAGATCCCCTGGAGAAAATGGATGGTGTGGAGGGTGGATTTCATGGCATTGTGCCCCACTGAGGTCCCTGTCCTCCCCAGGCTCCACCCCCAAATCTTCAGTAGTTTCCCAACCAGGAGCTGGCAACCCACCTCCCATCCCCCGCCAGTGTCCAAGAGGGACCTGAAATAGGATCTTCAATTTCCTTCAGAAAGGGCATTCAGAATAAAAGCATAT